CGTCCTTTCAACTATAGGCTGCGCTTGGCGCAAGTTTAAACTCTCTGGTAGAAAGATCAGGAGAATTACAGTAGCAAAAGCAATGGAGCTAGCCGATACTGTAAAAACAATAGTTGCATTAGTTGCTTCATATAAAAATCCGGCAGTAAAAGAGCCCAACATTAGTCCAATATATATAGCAGCTTCATATATTGTCATACTGTAAATATTACATAAAATAATCATATTAATATTATAGAAATTTACTAACCGATAGGGCCTTTCTTCCGCTGTGGAAACGTCAGAAATGAAACAAATTGCCGCAACATTGTAAGTTACACTACCTCCTAAAATTGAATGCGGCAAAACTGCTAATAGATAATACCAAGGGCTAAGTAACGACATTGTTGATATATAACAAACAATTGCTATCACCGCATAATACAGAGTATACCCTAATGATGAGAAATAATTTTTAAATAGCAAATATAAATATTAAAATATGTTTAATACCTGTGAATGCAGTTACCAGTAAAGGTTTTCGACCAAAACGATCGGACCATGATCCTATGAAAGAACCACATAAAGCTGGCACAATACATTCTATAATAGTTGTTGTCATAAATACTCGTGCAGCGTATGGTTGAACAATTGTTTCAATTTGCTAATAAATATATATAAAAAAATGTAATTTTTATAAATTCAATATTAATAATAATTATATGCTCTATATATACTAATAAACTAATTTATTTCGTAGGGAAAATTTTATTTTCTAAGGTTATCAAATTTTTATAGTATGTCGTTAACGACTTCCATAGACACTTTGACTAGTTGCTTACACTTCCCATCACATATTTTAGATATTTAAAAAACGTTAATAATTAAAATTTAAGTTTATTATGAAAAATAGATTAAATCCGATGGGTTTCTAATATAAGATGAGAATAAAAGCTACTATCTACTTATCCTCCTCCTGGCTTATATCAAAACAAGACATGCATGAAGAATATGTTCAAACGTCAAATTCGCTTTAAAACAGGCATGACATACTATAAACTCAAACAGACTTATCTCGTACTACTATATTAGATGTGATCATGACTTAACGTGAAGTTGGCTATTAGGAGCCTTCTAAGTAAGATCGCCTGACGTTTCTCTAGTGTATCATTTTAGTAGATCCGTATTTGATTAAATACAGATTTTGATGAAAAAATTTATAAAGGACAAGCTAATTGCGCAATTAAGGTCAACAAAATTATACCATTAACTATATTCCTTCTACTTAATTTTAGCAATTATTTTTATCGTCTCTAGTATGACTAGACACCCATCAAATCATTATCCGACTTTGGTTTACTAATAGCTAGAACGTGTCATATCAGTCCATCAACTGTATCGACTAGAATTTCCAGACAAAAAGATTTAACTATTCGAAACGTAATGTATTTAGTTATTGCTTATAACCAGCCAAAATAATTGATGTTAAAACTCTTATTTGTTTACGATTATTTCACGTAATACTTGGGGATGTACTAAGACAAATTTTAACTATAAAAAAAATAAAATATTCCATAACACTGAGATTTTTGTTAATGATGTTAATTGATGGCGGTATTTTTTTCTATGATGAGGAAATAATTCTTAAACCACTGGTATCTTTAATCAATTTTATTCTGGTATTATTGTAATTACTAATGTTTTTAATTAAACTGAATTATATATCTTTTAAACATATATATATATATATAATTTAATAGTATGTCAATAAATCTAATTGTTTATAAAAAATTAGATTTTATCAATACTAACTGCTTACACCTGTAATATAATTGCTTCAATTTATTGTTATTTTAATAGATGAAGTTTATACGTGATAAATTATACAATTTTCTACATTAATCGCAACGTTTTTATTATTCATTTGGATAAATAATTTCTAGCCTAAATTTTCAACAATCGCATAAGCTAAAATATACTAAATAATTACTTATCAAATTTTTTTCTTTGAAATGCATTGGAAGTATATGCATGATACGAGGGCAGTTTGATGTCAGTGACTTATTGAATTTCGCGGGCAGTTACTCCAAATGCAACAGTGCTGCCATCAGCTGTAATCTACAAGTGGGCAAATTTCTAATTTTAAGCAAGCTACGTCGTTCAGTTGATGTTGGGATACGAACTGCTACCCCATCCAGCATATTCTTCAGATTTAGCCACCTGTGACTATTTTCTGTTTCCAAACCTAAAGAAATGTCTGGGCCGTAAGAGATTTGAGTCGAATGAAGAAGTCATTATCGAAACAAAAGCGTAATTTGAGAGCTTTGAGAAAACCTATATGGAGGTAATAAGAAAATTAGAAAAACGCTGGACTAAATGTATCGAACTAAAAGGTGATTATGTAGAAAAATAAAATGTTTATTTGCCGAAAAAAATTTATTTTATTCAAAAAGTCACTGACTTATCAAACCGCCCTCGTACAAAATTAATACATACAAACAAAATCATAAAATGGCATTAATCATTATAAATATTTATATAAATATTATTTATATAATATAAATATAAATTTATATAAATATCATTTATCATTATAAATAATAAAAATAAACACAAAGTTCTTAATGTAGCCTATTACAAAAAATAAATTATTGGAAGTGCTTCACACGATAAACCGAAGAACCGCATCGCTTTCGTTGTCCATCCTTCTTCCCCCATTTATACCTATGATGCTTTAAGCGCTTACTCCAATTACTTGATAAAACATACAGTCGGTCGAACTTATAGGTCTTTAAAAGCGGCCACTGACTATTAGGTGGTGGTTGAAGAAAAGGTATGTAACTATAGTATAAGATATCTTTAACGATGAAGTGATCATATTAATAATCCAGTCACTTGCCTTTTAGATGTAGATTTTATACTTTAAGTGATAAGTACTTAGATTAAATTAGATTATGCTGGCAGACCAAAAAGGTCACGCATAGACCATTAAGGTCCATTGCGATATCAAATCAGAGTCTTGTTTTAGCGATTGTGTGCATCACTTAGGATACGCGTTTCATTAGCAAATTTTATTAGGATTTCAACAGAAACCTCAGGTATGTGCTTCAGTCCTGTAAAACTGACAGCCCCCAAATATTTTTGACGAGTCTTCTCGAGAATCGGGCAATTACATAGATAAGTACTTAATAAGAAATTAATTATGATTAATTTAAAGTTATTCATTAAAAAATGTTGTAAAATTAAGATTATAGGAAGATGTAGCTGTGCTAAACCAATTTATTATTATCATTTTCACTTATTACTATTTGTAGATTACAAGTAATAAATAAAAAATAATAATTAAAAAATAATTACATGTTATTACTTGTTATTACTTTTTTTATTATTTGCTCTTTTATTGTCAAAAAAACATAAAATTATCTCAGTTCTTAAAAGTTATCAAAGCAAATAAATATTTATTTTATCAAAGCGGAAATAAGTCAAAGAAGTTCAATGTTATGTGAAAGATGCTCATATCTAGATCACAAATATTAATTATTTTTATATCATCATATTTGTTTTTTATGTAAATATACATATTATCATTTTTCTATACTAAATCTATGTAATTATAAAGGTAAATATGATCATACCTAATAAATTTTTGTACGAAATCATCATATAATGTGAAAGCTAAGCGAATGCATTGCCAGAAAACCCCTCAAATGAAATCTGTAGATTTCACTTACAGGTCAGAAAAGATATCACAAATGCAGAGAAAAATAACCAACGCAGCAGGACCAGGCTGAAGATACTGGGAAGCACTGGTAAAAAAAATGCAACCATCTTGCAAGCGGAAATATACGCGATAGATAGATGCGCCAGTTTCAACCTTGAACGTAACTAATGGAACCGTAAAATCACAATACTGACTGACAGCCAGGCAGCTATAATGGCACTCATATCCTACTAACATCCAAACTGATATGGGAGTACATTGACAAGCTGAACATACTCGGCTGGAACAATCAGGTGCACCTAATATGGATTGCTGGACATGGTTGTTTCCAAGGCAATGAAATGGCAGATAAACTTGCAAGAAGAGGCGCACTCTCAAGAATAATAGGCCCAGAAGCATTCTATGGTCTAGACAAAGAAACTGTATCCATTCTTATGAATGGTGCAGAGGAAAAAGAAAGAGAACTCTATTGGGAAAGGCTATCAGGACTCTCACAATCTAAAATGCAGTTAGGGACTTATAATCTAAAACGCTTTAAAGATCAATAAATAACCTAAGAATTATTACGGGATTATGGACCGGTTACTATAGAATGAATAATCACCTATCGAAATTAGGAATTCAATCCAGCTCAGACTGCAGATACTGTAGAGAAGAGACAGAAACTGCATACCATATGCTTCGGGAGTGCCCGGCACTGATGCACAAGTGGAAGAAATACCTACCTAAGAGGGTAATAGTCTAATAGTTATAACAAAAATATTAAAAAGAACCGTATTTAAGATCTGGTAGAGTTTAAAAAAAAGCAGTTGATGTGGATCGCAGTGGTTGTCTATTAATTTTACTGGTTTTTGATTTGTTGGTTGTAATGCTATGTTACAATCGGTCTATGTTTCCCCGTAAATGATTACCTGGTCAATTTGGTCTTCATATAACAAGACCAGATTGTTTCATTTCATTAATAGAAATCGCGTGAATACTACAAGACTTATTGTAGCTCTTTAGTTTATTAATACGTCTTTAACTATGCAAAGAAACTGTTGTTGTTTTTAACACTCATTGTAAAAGTTGTAGAAACTTAGCAGATAAAGAAATAATCAAGTATATCTTCTTCAGTATACCTGATTTGCTTTTCACAAGAAACAGATTTTTAAGAGAACACATTGGTAAACTGATCATCGGTAAGAACAACCAATCTGTTATCTTTATTTGACAGTATGGATCTTGTTTCTATCTCTATGACTCTTGTGAGATATGTTTTAGTAAAATGAGAAATAATCGCTTATTAGAAAAAAATGCAAGGATATCTGTTAATCTAGAACCAACTAGTCAAATAGGTGAGGAAATTAAGTGTGATATTTTTGATGTCCTTAGTATTTCAGCTGTATTTTATATTTCGAATCATTAAATTAACTTCTGTTTAAGTCATATCTATGAATGTATATTAAGCAGTCTTTCAATTTTAATTCATATAAAAGTCATATTTTTAATATATACGAAACTTTACGAAAATACTCATTTTTAGAATGTCGGTGCGATATATCCACATGCATATTCTCATGAAGTCTGTCGTTTTTGTGATTATTTCTAATATCAAAACAGATTAAGTATTATTAAAATGGACTTCTAATGTAGAATTTAACTATCACAAAACGAATTGTTTGTATAATAGCACTCGATCACTATCAAAGGCACAAATAACCCAAATGTTTAGATTTCACATCGTATGTACACAAACTCTCTAAAATGTTTGTGATATATATGTAAATTAGTGTGATATGGTTTAATTTGTTAAATATTATAATATACTTTATGTAGTGTTAAAAAAAAAATTATAAAATTATTTTATATACAATACCTTTGTATGTTCACTTGCATTTTTGGTTGAAAGCAGTTTGCAATCGGTATCATTATATAAAAATACAGCTGTGCATGTCTGATAAATAATTTGGTTTTTTAAAATTGTCGCTAGAAGCAAATAATATCAATATTATAATAATTTTATAAAGTACTTTGAAATACTAACATGACAAATTATATGCAAACAGCAATATTAATACCATTGGCTCTATCAAGTAAAACTTTAAACGGCTCCATCTAAATGTATGAACCTCTTCTGTAGAATCTTCCACTTCTGAATCACTATGTGCATCTCCATTAGCATTTGAATTGGAGGAGGTATTACTATGTTGGTCATCTGTATCAGTTTCTTCGAAATCACTTTCTTCTAAATCTTTTGTTGAATTTTTTGCTATTAGAGTCGTACGTTCGTTGGGACTATCAAACATTTTTAAATAAACTTAGCGCTCGATATATTAAAACGAATGAAACACTTACTATAACTGAACTAAATCATTTCATAGAAAATTCTTTATGCAAACTGAAATTAAAGTGATACTTTATCGTTCATAAATGTCGCCTGACTCATTTCAGAGTGACTCAAGCCAACACAAGCAAATATGTTGAGCTACTGATGGCATCTTTAAAAACAAATAAGATATTCAGTCAAGACTTCCTTATGGTTTCTTATAAAATAAGAATATTGCGAATATGACAAACGTACAGCCCCTCAAAGTCTCTATGTAATCTTATTTTATGATTGTTTAATATTAAAAAAAATGTTATTCTTTTTAACGCAACGTGGGGACTCACATCAGAGCTCAATAAATTGTCAACGACTAAAGAAAATGTGTAGTAATTTTCTGGGTACTTTTTTGCCATTTTTTTTTATAGGGAAAAAAAAAAGATACAAAAATTATTTAACATTACATTAATAATACATTAATTTTGAATTTTACATATATTTTTATAAAATATATATTGTTGCCACTCCACTGAAGTTGTATTCGACAAAATTCCATAAAAATTTTTCTTATGATGTTCTATTAGGCTAATTATACTAGCCTAATTGGTCAATTACTACAAATTATTCCTATGTTATATCTAAAAATTGCTAAAATTCTCTTTTAGTTACGATTTCTCTCTTTATATCTCTAGATATAAGTAGTTATATAAAATAGCGTATATAAGTATATATAATAGAAGTACATACCATAGAAGTAGTTTAGAAGTATCTACGTACCCCTCATGAGTAAACGAGTTTTTCGATGGGAGTGTTTGGTGATTATTAGTCACTCGAGCCTCTATCTCACCGCTCTTAGGCAAGGTTTTTGTTGTTCCTGTATATCAAGAAACATGAATGGATTTCAAGTCGTGTTAGCGAGTTAGGTTGTGGTGTGGAGGTAGGTAAAAGAAGGAAATCCTCTTAGATTATCTTAAGTAGTATAAAATTAAACTAGTTAAAGCTTAATTGTTCCAAATCAATTTTATGTTTATATGTATGTAATTCATGTTTATGTTGAGTCTTTTCCGAGTTAGTGCATCAAGGCACTTTTACCCTTTGATAGCTGGAGGATTCTGCAGAGTCTCACCATTCTCACTAACCAATTTATGTATTCCTTAAAAGCTTCGTGATTATTCGATGACTGTTGTAAGATCTACGGCTAGAGATTATTCTGAGATTAGATAGTACCAAGTAGAGCAGCCTATCAGTTTTTGCGAATAGCTTCATATATGTAATTGGAGAATATTATTTTAATTCTATTTTAATTACAGCATAATATAGTTAAATTCAACGATATGCTAAGCGCTTTTAGAAACAGCTGATTATACGTGTCATAGCTACAGATCCTGGTCACTCCTCCTAACATCAAGAAGATTATCTCTTTCTTTACAATAATAACATATGCAAAGAGATTTATTTTTTATATGGTTAAATAGTCTAATAATAAAGTCGCAGAAGTTAACAATTTTCACAATAAGGTTATCATATTACAGCAAATCTTAAGTCAAAACAATGTTTCATTTTTTTTCTAAATTGTTTAAAATTTTAAATAATCCTACAATTATAACAAAATAGCATTAATAATGATATTGGTAATATTAGCTTGAACTCTAGTACCGTCAGTGCAGCTGATTCCAACTTGAAAAAATTGAAGAGCTGAAGAGTTTTTATGTAAACTAATAGAGAAAGAAGTACTCTTTGTCACCAAACATCAACAAATCTCTTTAACATCTTACAAATGATATATGTATGTTACTATAAGTTCGAAATTGTGAGTCTTGAGACTCACTTACGACAAGCAAAAATCACGCTCCATAAGTCCCTTATAATGCCTGTCATGCTTAAACAAAAAACAAAATGATAAGTAGATATTAGGACCATTCTATAAGATATATTTCGAAAGGTTTATAGCCCTGTATAGTTTGATAATGAGTATTGAATTAAATGGAACGATGAGCTGAATTAAGATGACCCGCACGACTTCCCCATTACCAACCTGACATGCTAAGTTTCCCTAATTCTTATAACATCTCGGTAAGGGCGGTAAGAAAAAGAGTCCCGAAGATTTCAGATCGTCTCCTAGCCAAAGATGGACATTGACACACGAGGTGTACACAGTGTACTCTTTATCCGCAGAGCCACAACCTCGACAAAACTCATTACAGGGTAGACCCAGTTTCATGCATGACTTCCTATTACGCAGTGACTCGTCGGCACTGATACCGTAGTTGGCAAATTACGCGTTAGTTAAAGCAGATGTGGACTAGGTCGTTCTAGAGTACTGACAACAGGATGCGTCTGCCCAATATTACTTGAAATTCTCAGATATTTTTATTTAATTACTAGTTAAGTGTTGCAAGTGGGGCGCCAATATCTGAGAAGTGTAACCGAGAACTGTTTGTCAGGGAGCAGAGTGCCTACCTTGGTAAGTTCGTCTGCCCTTCAATTACCCGAGATATCCCTTTGTGCAGGAAACCATGTGAGTTGAACATTGACATAACTAGCCATCTCATTAATGTATGCCCGGCATTCTCAAACTATTAGAGATTTGACTGCAGAATAAGTAATAACAAAATAAACAAACTAATTTATATTAAAGTAATTTTATTGAAACGTTCAACGTTCAATTTTAAAAGAAAAGATACTTACTTTCATGCAACAAATTTGTTATAGTTTATTACATAAATAATTTTAAATACTTCTCTGTGATATTATATTTTGGGCATTAGAACTTTTATAATTAACCATATCGATAATAGATGGTTAAACTTAACAAATACTATAATATTCTGTGAAATTCACATATTCAGATTTTATTATTTTTAATATCCAATTAATATTTTTGCACATTTCTTTTTTTTTTTTGTTTTAACAATTACAACAATTTTAACAACAAAAGTCAATACTTTATATAGCACGAATAAATAGTAACTGAAGCTTTGCTTTAAATGTAAAATTTAAAATATATTTGCTAATATATCTACGTTAAAAATATTTAATTTCGAAAACAATTCTATCTCGCATTATATCATAGAAATAAATATATATGTAGGAAACATAAATATAACTTAAAATTTAAAATAAATCTAAATAAAAATAAATAAAATTAAACTAAAATACATTATTGTGCAGTTAAAGAGTTATGAAATGAATTTATAACAATTAAAATATTTTTTATTTTTGTTTTAGTTGTTATTTGTTATTTGTTGAATTGCATGAATTCTTTTAACTTAAAATTAGAATATAGTCGAGTTAAAAGTTATTTCAACTCTATATGTTAGATATCTAATTCGAATGCTGAAAACGTAAAAACTCATCAGATGTGCTGTGATAAATGTTTTTTTTTGTTTATTATAACTGTCCTTGTTGATAAAACTGGCATATATTGCCTCTTTGGGATGCCAATAGCTTTCTTTATTGCTTAAGCAACAGCATCTGTAGCACATTCTTCTTCGACAGTGATATACATACCCTCTTCCTCGTATGCAGAATCATGCTTAGCTAAGATTCTTAAGAGAGGACGTAATTTAAGCCACCATTGTGCTTTAGGAATACGTTGCCTGAAATTAGAAAAAATCATTATTTAAAAAAAAAGAAATAAAAAAGTGTTTTTTTATAATTACTCGAAATTAGTTTCAGCAATTAAATCTGCCAATGGAGTGAATCGATATTGACGACGTACAATACCGAGCAGGCAAGCAGAATCGTTAGTTTCACATTTAATTGTACCATCAGGTCTAGTATTCTTTTTGAATTGATCAATTATCCAATCAACACATTTAGCTGCCATTTTTGTGCCCATATTACGATCAAATGGTGTTGGTGAGCCACCTTGTTGCATATGACCTATACAAATATAGAAATTAGTTATTAAAGCTAAACAATTAAAGAAAAATTTTTGAGGGACATACCTAAAATATTCATACGGCAAGAGAATAATCCTTTGCCCTCTTCTGAATATAAGCGGTGTATAAAATCGGTGTTATAATTCTCAGATGCTTTCTCATTGCGCAAGATAAGACCACGTTGTACACCTTCTGCCATTTTTGAGGCCATATGATAAACATCCTGCTGCAAATCTTTAATAGAGAACTTCTCTTCATAAATATAGGCAGCATCAGCACCACCAGCCAAACCAGCTAAGGTTGCCAAGTAACCACAATAGCCACCCATAGTTTCAATAACAAAAACGCGACGTTTAGTACCCTGTGCAGATTGACGTATACGATCACAAATTTCAGTGATTTCATTTAAGCCAGTATCACAACCAAGTGAGAACTCAGTGCCAGGAACATTATTCGAAATTGTTGATGGTATAACAACTAATGGTATACAAAACTCTGGATAATTGGCACGTTGATCAGAAATTTGTCCAAGTGCATGATATGATTCAAAGCCACCAATAACAAGCAAACCCTGAATTCTAAATTCTTTAAGACGAGCAGCAATTTGCTTAAATTTGCCTTCTGGGAGTGTACGTTTCGTACCAAGGAAAGCGCCACCTTGTCCTACCCAACCAGTTACATCGGACCTAAAATATATTAATATTAATAATAAAAGAAATAATTTATATTAGAGAATAATCTACCAGCCCATTTCTTTAATATTGCCAGCAATTAAACCTTCAATGCCATCATGTATGCCAAATACTGTGTCACCACGATAAATGCAATTACGCACAAAACTACGTACAGCAGCATTCATACCACATGCTGGAGCACCAATATGCATAACGGCAAGACGATAACCTTCCTATATTTAAAATTAATATTAGTTAAAATATGACTAAATTATATATAATAATATAATGAACTTACCACTCCTCTACCTTCAGCATCAAATGATTCCTTTGGTGGCTTCAAACGAGTCAACATTTTGTAAGTTTCCAAATTACGTTCAAAAGAGCGGCCACGCAATTTTACAGCCAATTCCCAATTCTTTTCAGCCATGGCTGCAGCAACAGCTTTTGTACGTTCAACACACTCCATTAGTGGTACACGTACAGCTTGATTACCATCCAACGAAACGACAACTGGTACAGTATCAGGTGTAGCTTCCATAAGCGCTAAAGTAGCTTCAGCACCCATACGACAACCCTAAGATAATTAAAAAACATGTTTAATTAAATATTTTTATTGCTTTTTTTATACGCATATGCTAGTTTATTTACCAAAACACGATCAAATGCGCTAGGGTTACCACCACGTTGTACATGACCCAAAACAGTGATACGAGTATCTTGTTGTAATCTATCCACCACAACTTTCTTCACATCTTCAGCTGTAATAGGTTTACCTTCACGATCGATAGCACCTTCAGCGACGATAATAATATTTAAGCGTTGACCTGCATTACGCTCCTGTTTATTTTATTTTATAAAGATTAAAAAATGTATTTAATTTTATTAATATATTTATTTTTTTTTGTTTATTAATATATACATATATAAGTAACAATTTTAAGCTTCATTATTTCATTTTTTTGCAATACATTTTTTTTAAACATAAATCCTGTGTTATATTCACTATAAATTTAAAGAATATTTTAAAATCGAAACTTTTTCTATAATAAAATCGGTATTATTAGTACTAACTAATTATGTTAAGTACGAAACCTTGATCAGGGTCTTTTAATCTATATGTGTGATTTACAAGAGTAATCTATATCAATTATCTATATGGTGAAGATATTGTTATGTACGAATTTCTTTAACTTAATACCCTTATTAAATAAAAAAAAACCCCATTAAATAATTACGAGTTATTCTTGCATGGTTATTATATATATGTATGTATGTATGTATATAGTTGACTACATTAAAAATAGTGAATTAATTACGAAATGTAATAAATTACTGGACTTTAAATAGAAAGCTAAACTGATAAATACACAATACACAATATAGATAATGATTACTAAATATATTTTAATTATTATTAATTATTACATATTTGTAAAATGGGTGCACAGGGGAATGGGCTATGATATAAAAATTCAGTTGTGAATGGATTTGTCTACAATAAGAGCTTAATAATAATAAATATAAATGAGAGACATTTAAACTATTTGAAAAAAAATTTTGGTCAGTACTGGGTGGCAGAACTATATGAAACCAGCACCGTATTCAAGGTATATTAGATATGGGTTCCGGGTGACTATGAGAGCAAACTGCAATATCAGACTAATTAGCCAGATGGTAAATTAATCTTAAACTAGGCACAGATGAAAGTCCAAAAATTCATTTAAGTGACCAACAGGTCTTGAATAAATAAAGAATCTAGACAAATAAAGCCAAATATAGCCGAAACTCCTAAAGTGAATATCTATAATATTATAACTTGCATAACCGATATCTTACTATTTGACAAGCATGGCATCAGACTAGAGGTACCCACTCATGAATGCTATAAAAGTTGTGTGAAAGAGGAAGGAGACGAAAAAGTAAAATACTTCTTCCGTAGATGCCCAGTTTTGGTTACTAGTAGAGCGGGTATAATTTTAATTAGGAAATTAAATACATTTTGTACTTTATTAGGGTTATTACTTAAAGTTTTATTAGTAAGGACAGTGAAGATACCACAATGGAACCTCAGTGTATAAGCGAGTTGGTTAACTTGACCGACTGCCAAAATAAAACCTAACCTATAGCTATAGCTATATACGGCATTTCACGGTATTGGTGCTCATAGATCAATATCTCACTACCACAAAGGCATATTATAAAATTTGATCTGTACTCTAACGGTTTTTATTGGAATTCCGGATGAGGAGGAAACTATACACCACCTCATGTAGAAGGTGGTGTTATTTTCTAAGAAAAGTTTAAAATTCTTTGGAGCCCCATTTTACACTGACCGAACAAAACTGTCAGTCTTTAAAATTAAGAACATAGTCAAGATTAAACACTTAGCGGGCTGTGTCCCTATTACTTTAATGGGAAATAACCACCCGACAATTTCAATGGAAACGTTATATGTTGGACGTTTCGGACTATTACCTTTAAGGTGGTCTGTATCTCAGCCGTAATATTACAACAGGCTAATATTTGTGCTGAAGTGAGCTTTGGTATACAAGTCTACCACTTTGATCTAACATATTCTAACATATGATAAACATAATTTTGTATATATCAATTTATATACTTATCTATCCTACATCAAAGAAATTTGTTTTGTTTTTTCGAAAAAAATTTCATTCAGACTCAACCAGGTTTGACTTCAATAAAATTTTTTTATATAAATTTAATATAATATCCATTCGATATTGGAAATATAAAAAATAATTATAGTGAAATGCAGTAATGGTTTTTCGGGTATTAAAGGATATATCAGTTCGATTGAAAATATGTATTTTAAGCATAAAATTGTATTAGTTTGCCCATATGAATCTCATTTTTAAAACATAGGTATATACCACAACATTTTATTAAAAATATATTTATAATTTCTACAGTTTTTACTCTATTTCGGACTCTATAAATGCTTGCAAAAAATGAAACAACGACTCAAATTTTAAAGTTTCATAAAAAGATGGAGAAATAATAAATTTGCATAAATGAGATTGTGTATCGGTAGAATAATGTAAGCTGAGAGTTTTATGTTAAACCAATTAATGTATGTCTCGTTTAGCAATGATTTTTTTTAATGTTTTTTCACCAGAACTAAAAATATAAATAATTACAACTAAATGAATGACTTATATGTATATATAGTGTATGAATTTTATACAATGAGTAAGAAATTACAAATGATATATTTATTATTATGTATATACTTTGTATATAAGACCATATGATAAAAATGAAAATATAGAAGCGAAAATATATAATTGAATACAATGAATGACAACAGACAATATATGCTCTGAAAGATGTATGAAATCAATAAATGAATGTTGCTCTATAACTGATTTTCCAGAATACACCTATTGTCAATAAGTCGTTAAAACTTAGCAAATATATATCGTACGATTTTATAGACTTACGATATATTTAAAAATTTTAATAACTTTTGAACTTTTACTATAGAATTACAAAATCAAAAATAAAGTGTTATCATGCATCGAAAAGCTAAAATAATATCAAATGAAATGACTACAACACCATTATGACACCAATTTTTTATATATATATATAAGGAACAAGATAAATCCAAAAATATTTAATTATTAATTATTAAATCGAAATCATATTTACATACAATATTTGCCAATTATGTTAATTGCTTTGAGATCTGATAAAGAGCATTAGAAACCATAAATTTTGTTTTTTTTTTTGTGTTTTGAAATACAAATATAAAGAAAAAAATTAAATATATATAACCCATAAGCTTTAGAACAACTATATTGCTCAATATATGTTAATTAGATTTTCTATATAATTAAATATTTAAATTAACGTTTAAATAAATGCACAATATTAATTATTTTAAAGTAAAGAGAGACTGCATTCTGACCTGCAGTAGTTTTTTGCACAACTTATCGGGCCAATTAATGGCGGCAGGACATTCGGGTATAAACATAAAATCAGCCTCACTGGCTAAAGCTGCTGCAATACCTAAGTAACTAAAATTATAAAAACATTAAATATTTAACATTAAAAACATTTAAGTGGAAAATTAGCACACAGTTGAAGAGTTGCTATGTAGCTAAAGTATATGTACGTTAGATTACCAAATACAAAAAAAAATTTTAGATAAACACTAGATATATAGATAGATTACGAAACGATAGATAGAAAATTAGAAACAAAACAAAAGAATGTTAAAAACGTATACAAATATACACAATACTGGTATATAAAACATATACATATATAGATATTACCTTGGGGTAATTTGGTAAAAGAAATATTTATATATAGGATCCCTATTAACGGCTATATGAAAATCGAAACACTATATCACAATTATACGAAAACACTGTATTACAGAATATTTGTAATCTTTTAATGATCATACAAATGAGTGCGAATAGACGATTTTTGTGTAAACTTGAGTGCGACGAAGATGATTTTTGTGTTCAATGATGATTTCAGCTGAAAAACTGAAAATAATTAAAGTCAGCATATAAAAGCAAATACAATACATTTTAAAAAAGGCAGCCAATGATGTAAAAAAAAAATCTCACTTAATTATAAAATTATATTTTACTATAACCAATTTAAAATAATGAATTTTTTTTTAAATTTTGTGAATTCCGTTTCTTCTTGCCTGACTTAATTGCTGACAAATTCTTTCGGGCCAATCGGTTTTAGGTGGAGCTTCAGGTATAAAAATATAATCAGCTTCACTTGATAAACCAGCTACAAGAGCCAAATAACTGTAAAAAACAAGCATTTTTAATTTAACAATTCAAATCATATATAAAAATTGGCAACTTTAAAACGGGACATATTCCTTTAAGTAAAAAAAATTAAATAAAAAATGTTTTGTTTAAATATTTTTTTTTAAGTTTTTCGTAAATTATACAGAGTAACTTCGACTCATACGACATAATTTTGGAAAATTATACCTCAGTCAAAGAAGCGAGTGAGAACAATCATGTTAGGGAAAGAAGATAGATAGGATACCAAAAAAATGTTCACTTGAAAAAATATTTAGTCAAGATACGATCTAACATCTTAAAAACTTTTCAAGTCAATAACTTAAGTTATACATCAGTTTTTAGTCCATTCTACATACTTTTATATGATGTCTACAATATCGTTCTAATTAAATGGGTTCGAAAGCTAAGCTGACATTATATTGCATTATATTGCATTATAAAAAAATTAGGCAATTTAATATAAAATAATTTATATAAATACAATAATATATATTAAAATAATAAAAT